ATTCAGTGAAGTAAAAGCGTAAAAACGTAAAGCGTTTTAGTGAACTAGAAGCGTAAAATTGTAAGTTTTTAAGTTTTAAAGCGCAATTTAGTATGATTTTATACACTAAAGTTTTTACATAGAAACGAAAGCGTTTTGGTGACCTAGAAGCGTAAAACCGTAAGTTTTTAAGTTTTAAAGCGCGATTTTGACTGCATTGAATATACCAATTTAACTCATTTTATTAGGTTAAAAAAATACGTATAATTATTTGAATTTTGGGCCCCGGACGTCAAAATCCTGGCTTCGTCCTAGTTTATGGTATCTAATTTTATGTTCAAATTCGGCCCAGTGCTCAACTATATCCTGGATCCGCCGCTGTGAGTGTGGCTTATACTGCTCAGCAGAATGGGAGGGTAGAAAGAAAACATCAACATCTGTTGAATGTTGCCAGAGCCCTCAAGTTCCAGTCTGACTTACCTTTGCAGTATTGGAGTGACTTCATTCTTCATGTTGCTTACTTAATCAACCATATACTCCAACTCTAATCCTTCATAACAAAACACCTTTTGAGGTGTTACACAACTTTCCTCCTGATTACAATAGCCTTAAGGTTTTTGGATGCTTGGCTTATGCATCCATAGCGGGACCTCCTCGAACCAAGTTAACTGCTAGAGCTACTCAGTGTGTGTACTTAGGAGTTCCTTCAGGTATCAAGGGTTACAAACTCCTTGATCTGACTACCAAAAGGGTTTTTGTATCCAGTGATGTGATCTTTTATGAACACATCCTCCCCTGTACAAATCCCTCTTCTGTTGCTCCTTTAGTACTACCTCCTCCTTCTCATTCCACTGCACCATCTGACTTTCCTGATCCTTCCATTCCAACATTTCCTACTGGCTTTCCTTCTCCCTTACCTGTTTCCCCTACCTCATCAGTCTGAGGAGGCCAGTTTCCTCATTTCACCTATTCCTTTCTCTCTTTCACATCCTAATGATTCTCCTGAACCAAGTTCCACTTCCTCATCTTAACTTTTTTCCCCTACATCACATTCTTATTTTCCATCCTCCTCTCATTCCTTCTCTCCATCTCCTTCACCTCATAAGGATCCACCTATTCCTCTTCGTAAATCCAACAGAGAATCCAAACCTCCTAGCTAGCATGATGACTATTATGTCCAGTATCCTGCTCAAGCATCTTAGTCCCTTTCCCACTTGAATCCTAAACACCAAAGTTTCGTTAACACAAGTGTACACACATTGAACCTACTTCCTATGTTGAAGCTTCACAGAGTGCTGAATGGAATCAAGCAATGAAAGAAGAAGGTAAAGCTTTGATTGAAAATGAAACTTGGGATGTTTGTGATCTACCACCTAGTAAAAAGGCTATAGGATCAAAGTGGGTTTACAGGTTGAAGTTGAAGTCAGAAGGAGATATAGAGAGGCACAAGGCAAGGGTGGTAGCTAAGGGTTACACCTAAGTCTATGGGATCGATTACTGTGATACATTTTCTCCAATTGCAAAGATGGCATCAGTGAAGGCTTTATTGTCTATTGTTGCAATTAAAGGTTGGCATTTACATCAAATGGATGTAAGCAATTCTTTCCTAAATGGGGATCTAACTGAAGAAGTCTATATGGAATTACCACCTGGCTTGGACAGTATTCCAGAATACAAGGAAAAGGTATGCAGGTTGAGAAAATCCTTGTATGGTCTTAAACAGGCAAGTCGTCAGTGGTATGCCAAATTGACTGAATCTAGGGGTGGACATCGGTCGATTCGGTCCAAGACCAAACCAAACTATCTTCGGATCGGACCAAAATTTCTTCTAAATCAAGGACCAAAGTCGAATTTTTATTACTTCGATTCGGTCCAGATCAAACCATATATGGCTCGATTCGGTCTGGACCATCCCATTGGACCGACTAATCTTTCATTCGAATAAAATCACTCTTAAAGGACAACACAACAATTAAAAAAATGTAACTACATAAAAAGAAGTAATCAAATTATCCCAAATTAAATACTCCACAATTCTTAAAACCCACATGTTCAAAAATATTATGCAAAAAGCTAAACGAGAACTACTTAACTAAAAGACAAAAGTCTTTTTATTCAATCTAAAGTAGTCTAACTAATTGCCTCTCTAATCTTTCATTTTCATTTTCAGAGTGCACGTTGGACCTCCCAATCTCCATAATTTCCACTCTTCATTAGAAAGGAGTTTAACAAAATGACACTTACTCCAAGAACTAGTGCAATTAAACAAATGATTCTTAAACTTGCTAATTTGCAATGGTGTTGTCAGACTTGGCAGAAGCATTTGTGGTGTCATTTATTCGTATCTTCTCCATATATGAAACATTAAACAAGAAACGAGAACATAATATAAATACATGGTTCACAGTATGTAGGTAAAGTAAGCAGCTCTCTTGATCAAAGCAACGCGGATGAGAACTCTGATTAGCGGGTAGGACTATAGGAGCGGGAGCGACGAGTCAAAGTCAGTAAAAGTCAATCATATTTATAGGTACTTAAGTAGCATGTAGGGTACTATGGTTTCCAACTCCAAGTCGACTTTCCTTCTCAGAGCCTAATAAAATAGGCAATTAATTTAATTACGATTCGTTCCGGTCCTTAGCTTGATTTTACGGTTTCGGTCTGGAACGAACCAAAACCGAATATGTCCCAAATTCAGGAACCAAAGTCGAATCGAAAGATAAACAGTTCGATCCAATTCGGTGTGAGAGTCGTTTCGGTCCAATTCGGTCCGATGTGAATCGAATCGTTGCCCACCCCTAACTGAATCACTTCTGAAGCATGGTTTTAAACAGTCTGCCTGTGATTACTCCATTTTCACTGCACAAATCCTTGGAGAGTTGGTGGTTTTGGTTGTGTATGTCGATGATATAGTGCTTGGAAGTATTAGTTTGGATTCCATAAATGCAGTAAAGAGAATGATGCAAGCAGATTTTAAGATGAAAGATCTTGGAGAGTTGAATTACTTCCTTGGTTTGGAAGTTACCCATGAAAAAGGGGAATCATAGTGTCCCAGAGGAAGTATTGTCTAGAAGTTCTTGTTGAATCAGGCTTTGGAGCCTGTAAACCTGTTGCAACTCCTATCTTTGTTAAGGAGACACTTTCATCTGCAGGAGGTTTACCTTTGGAAGATATCAGCAACTATATACATTTGGTGGGTCAATTGCAGTACCTAACAGCCACAAGACCTGACATAACCTTTGTTGTACAACAACTATGTCAGTTTCAGGATAAGCCTACAACACTGCATCTTAGAGCACTACGTGTTCTGAGATATCTAAAAATGTCACCTGGTCAGGGATTGCTATACTCTTGTGACTCCAATTACAGCTAATTGGGTATAGTGGCTCGGATTGGGCTACTTGCCCTGATTCGAGAAAGTCCATCACAGGGTACTGTACCTTGCTTGGATCAGGGCTAATAAGCTGGAAAAGCAAAAAGCAGAGCACAGTGTCGTGTTCTTCATCTGAAACAGAGTACATGTCACTTGCAAGCTTAAGTTGTGAGGTCCAATGGCTAGTGAGACTGCTGGCAGATTTTTGAATCACACACAATCAACCAGTACTTGTCTATTGCGACAATCAATCAGCAATACATATTGCAGAGAATCCTGTTTTTTACGAGCGGACGAAACACATCGAAGTCGACTGCCATGTAATAAGGGAATGAGTCCAATCAGGTTTGATCTCTCTGCATTATGTGCCAACAGAATTTCAAATTGCTGACATATTCACCAAGAGTTTATCGATGGATAGATTTGCCTTGTTATTGTCCAAGCTAGGAGTATACAATCTATACTCGCCAGCTTGTGGGAGGGTGAAAAGGAATGAAGATGATCATCTCCCTGATGTAGTAGTTGCCCCTGTTGGTGTGAGTTGCAGAACAAACTCTGTTGCAGTCGCAGAGTCAAAGAAGCCAGTAACGGAGGTGGAGTTGAAAATTAGTGAGGCTTAGGGAGTTAAAAGTAATAATTTTTATTTTTATTTTAGTGGTAGTGATAATGAGGTGAAAGTTCTGAATTTTATTTTTTTAGTTTTTTAATTGCCACGTCATACATTTAACGGTCAACTATAAGAGTTGACTGTCATATCAGACAAAGTTAACGGAGTTGAACGGAGAGTGACCAAACTTAAATTGTTTTACTAAATCTAGTGACTATGAATGGATTTAAATATTTCGAGTGACCAAACTTGAACGTGATCAATCATGCAATTAACCCTTGAAAATAATGAATCCAAATGGGGGAACAGATTTTTGGCCAGCTAAACCCTATAGAAGAAAACCTTACGCCTGAACAAGGGTCAACAATCCAAACCACATAAATGAAAAGCAAAGCCAGCACAAATGGGCCTAAAAGAGAAACCCTAACAACCTAATCAATCTTCTGCGCAAGAGAGCAGCGGCCGCCCCAAGGAATCCCACACCATCAATAGAAAAGCACAAGACGCCAACGACAAAGAGGATGTGACAAACCAAGACTGAAATCGCTGAAATTCCAGAGACAAACCTAAACAAAGATAGATACCTCCATCACAGCGGAAACACATGTAGCAAGACGATTGATAAGAGGCTCAAGTGGATCTCACTATCGAGCTTCTTAGAGCTACAACCACGAAAAGATCACAATAGGATTCACAAGTCTTCTCCAAAACACCTAAACAGACAGGTGGAGCAAGGAGGAGCAGAAACAAGAAGGAGAAAGCAGGTTAAGAGAATGTTAACCTCTTCTATTACCATTAAACCATCTCGACAACAAATCTGAAATGAGGAAGAAGAGGAAGCCATCTTCAAGAGAGGCCCCGAATGCAGAGAAAGAAACAGACAAATGGAACGTAATAAGAAGCTAAACGAAGAAAAACAAAGGGGTGGGGCTACCGACGGCAGTCCATTACAGTATGAAAATTAGAGAGGAGCTCAAGAGAGGGACCAAAATCAAAATCAAGCGAATGCCACCTGGGAAAAACATAAAGTAGAAAACAACAAAACCCAAAGCGAAGCCTGAGTTTAACGAATAACGAATGATAGATTTCACCCAACATTCAGGCTGTATATATACATCCACAGCACAAACTATAACAATCTCTAGTTTACAGAGCAAGGAAACAAATGATACTGGTGTACACTCTCTAATACCACAATCCTGTACACAGAAAACTCTAGTCAATTATCCCAGTGAGTTCAGTGAAACTAACCAAACAACGAAAAAGGACAGCCAGTAACAATTTTACAAGTTCACATTAGCTGTTGTTACGAGGCTTGGGAAGACAGACATTGATTCAGCATCACAGCTAGAGCCTCAAATGCGTTCCCCTCGTAGCACTTCCACCACCGTCCTGATGTCTAAACTGGGAAGGGATCCAGTGGCTTCAATCACTTATGAATATGATGCAAGATATCAGCTAGCTAGTGCGAACAAACAAACCTTAACAGAAATCAATAACCTTGAACAATCTTATGACAATCAAGTGCTACAAACAAGAAGAACCTAATGGGCATTCCTCTTCAACAATCCATCCAAGGTAGACAATAGGCATGAACCTGTGGTCTAATTATGCAGCAGACTCTACTTTTAGAGGGACGATGAATCTCCAATTTTGTCATATATAGACCGGCTTCACATCGTTTTGTCCAAAACTTGCAGCACAAACAGGACACTTGCGATGACGACTTTCGGTGACTTTTTGAACACAAGGGTTGCAGAACAAGTGATAGCATTTTGTGATGACAACCTGAGATGAAAGATATTACGCCAAGTCAATTGCCTCAACATTGTTGCAATGCTACTTTATATAAGGGAGGATCACAAGCAAAAGAGGGTGCTTGGAAGCGCATGTTTTGAGGCTATGCGCAACCGGTCCAACAACCCCAGAGAACCTGTTATCCCTTATTGCAAATATCACAAGGTTTTAAGAAGAAAAATTAAAATTATTACACTGCGAATCTGGAAGCAGTGTACGTAGTTATCCAAGATCAACAGCACTCTATACTTAATTTCACAATTTCTAGCTATTACAAAAGACTTCTCCAGTCACAGGAGGAAAAAGAGACCATTTAGAGACACCAAAGAGATCAACCCTAGGATTTAGTATGAAGCCAAGCCCACATAACACATCAGACTAGACACATAACACAATGCCAGAGAGGGACTGTCTTGGATGTAAATGGAAAAGTAAAGCGCCTCTAAAGTGATTGCTTAGAATGTTGAAACAAAACCTGATATAGAGTGAACCAAGAGGTAAGGGACAGTAATTCACCTCTTTGGGTCTGTCATGGCAGACACCGCACTTCACTATTTCTCTGTATTCTCTTAGTTCCCGTCGAAGCTTCTCCAAGATAGATGAACGCTCTAGCTCATCTCTAAGGCATGAAAGCTTTCTTCTTGATATTTCTAATTCCTCCTCTCTTCTTCTCTTCTCAAATCTGATCCATGATAAGCATACATTAATGGTTGGGCTTCATATGGGATTACAAACAAATGGAAGATCAAAGTTTCTTCACCTCTCTTTTTCCACATGTATTTGCAGCTCAGCCAGAGTCATTCGCCTATCCTCAACTTTAGATTGTGAGCCATCAAGCACTTCCCTCCCTTGCTTAGCTGATCTCCTTATATCTTGCAATCTTTTCTGCACATTCTCTAATGTGACTAAATTCTCAAATTTGTCTCCAACAAGCTTCTGAACCTGATCAGAAGAGCTTTTTAACTGCAAGGAAATTTGGCACAATTAAAAGACAGAATCACATACATCTCAATCTCCTGCTAAAAAGAGCCCGAGCAGCACCTGGTCTTCAATTTTTGCAGCCTTGACCTTGTAAAAGTCAAGAGAAACTTTGGCTTGCTTCATTCCCCTTTCCAGGGATAACTTGTCAGTCGTTAGAGAGTCATGCAGCTGTCTTGCTCGCACACCCTCTAGCACAAGCTGAAAAAGATTAACCATATTAACAGATGGTGCCTTCAACCACAAGATGAAACGTGACATATTTTATAAATTGGTCGGATGCACACATGAACTGGATGGTCAATAAGCACACCGCACGACAAACACCATCATTCATAACCTTCAATAGTCAAATGACAATATTATTTGCATTCCTCACAATTACATCCAAATCTTCCAGAAGTGAACTCCCAGGCCAGCACATCATTTTAATATAATTCGCACGGACTATTGGCCATAAACACAAACCCCATGGTACTTGGCACATAGGAAAACAGTAAATGCCTCAAAAGCTCAAACAACGTTCACAGAAAATACGACTACAAGCCTTTTGATATGTGCAAAAAAAAATAAGGGTAGTAAAATAGGAAGTTTAGATATATCCATTTCAGAGAAGAAGACCAAGAGTTCCAACACCTAAGAAAGCCCACCGCACCTAGACCATACTTAGAAGAAGTAAATTCTATAGAACCAGCGCCTGTTAATAGAAATAAGTCAATCTAGTGAAATATGCATAATTTACCATGTTCATACAGCTCTATGAACACTGACTAATCATCATTAGAGTCACAACAGTGGAGATGAACACATAACTAACATTGAAATAATATGCTTTGCTGAGGCAACATGCCAATCACCCACATTAAAAAATCAAAAGTTTATGCATAATTTACCATGTTCATACAACCCTATGAACACTGACTAATCATCATTAGAGTCGCAACAGTGAAGATGAACACATAACTAACATTGAAATCGTATGCTTTGCTGAGGCAACATGCCAATCACCCACATTAACTGTGGGGCAAACAAAGCATAATTACGGGTCAGGCACAGATGAACCAGTGTTCTGCTAAAAAGCTAAGCTACAGATGCAAATTACCTTGATGTTATAGTCATCTCGCTCAGTGACTTGCTGCAAAAGATGTTGGTTTTGGGTTTGCATGTCATCATAGGCTTGTCCAATAGTCTGCAACAGATGAAAGAAAAAATGTTGACAGACATGACCTTGCACAGAACATCATGCAGGAAACATTAGACTGAGAAAATTACCTCTATTTCGGATAAATACGCTTCATTTTCTTCACTTTTGGCTTTGAGGACATCAGAAAGCTTGGACATTTCCCTGCAATAACAATAGCTTCGAATACCTCAGTACTTTTCATTTCAAATCTAGAAAGTTATCAAGGAGCAATATCTCATGGTCGTAACAACCACAACAAAATAGTACCGATCAAAAAGTTACAAATTCATCCGCATGGACTGAATTAAATTTCACCTTGTTAGAACAGGTTCACATCTGGTTATATTATTCTTTCTCAACTAAACAACTACTGCAAAGACTCTGAAACAATCTAGAAGTGCATCATGATGCATGGAAAGAGCATGTAATCTTCAAACGTAGTTTCTTTACCGGGCCCTTCCTCAACAAGAACAGAACAGACTCGAAAGAGATCTCTAAATCACACATTCACAGACAAGAACAAGTAGAGTAGGAATAAATCAACAATTCACTTTTCTGCAAGACAATCATAAGTCTAACCTTTTGGAAGTTTCCAATTTCTCTCTCGAGTCGGCAATCTCAGCTTCTGCAGCAGCCAGCTTCTGCTGTGTGATGGCCTCAACTTCAATTGCAGTCTTAACACGTAATTCCAAGTTCTGCTCATCAAGAGATAACTTCAAGCTTTCAACTTGAGCCCACGCCTGGTATTCCGAATCTTGACTCTCGCTAACATCCCTGCTGTCAAATATACACGGCTCTTGCAATCACTTATCACATCCACCAATAATTACCGAGTTCCTCTCAGGTGAAACAGAGATGAGGGGTTCACAGTCACGACACCAATGAATACTACCTTGAATCTGTTGATTCACGCCTATACATGTCTGAAATTATCTTCAGCTCTTCTACACTTTCCTTTAGATCCTTGACCTAATAAAAGCAGCTAAAAACTTACTGGTCTGAATGAAACCAAGTAACAATATGCAAGTAAATAGCAGAAACACACCAAGATAAAAATAATAAATAAAAAACATAATGAAAGATTAAGGAAAAAATTATCAAAGCCCAAGCCTCTCCAAAATAACTAAGAAGGCCATAAAATAAGATGACAGAGGAGAAGAGGATACAGATGAGATAAAATAAGAAAACAGAGAAGACGATACAGATGAGTCGACCATGTTGTCAAGAATCCTCAATAATCTCGAATTGGATTTTTCGTATGGTTGATATATCATGAAGCGACAGATTTTCGTTTCCCCATAAAATCCATCTATCATCGCTTCAATTTCATCAAACATCCATTCTCGCCTAATAACTGAAGAGCTCATTCTTGTAATTTCAACAATGAGAAGAACAAAACTCCATACAAGCTTTAACTAGATCCTAATAAATCTGGAATTGCACAATGAAACTCGAAATCATATCATTGCTTCAAGTGGCATCTTAGAGTGCGATTGGGAAGAAGAGATTTCTGTTGGCAGGCCACCTTTTCTTCTACGGGTAGTTTGGATAAGGAATTCTAACGAATCAATTTGACCCAATTGTTTCGTTTTGAGACAATCTGGCCAAATTGTTCATTTGGCAGCACAAAATTTAGATGAAGCAATGATGCATAGAGAATTTCAAATTGACTCGTTTTGAGGCAATTACAATTGTCTGGGGTAGAGGCAGACAATTCGAATTGACTCGTTTTAATTACTCAATGTCGTAAAATGAGACAATTGGCCAAATTGTCTCGTTTTTCAATTGATCCATCCAAACGACCCCCTCATTTCCCTGTTAAGGGATGATTGTAACCAAACTCTTATATCCCAAATGAAATTATCCAGGCTTTCCTATAAAAAATGTGGCATCTTAGACAAATATCTAAAAAAGAGAGGAGGGAGAGAATATAGAAACACATGTACAGGTTATCACGAATATTAACAAGTGTTTAATCAGCTATGCTCTGGAACAAAAGTGTCCACTCGGCTGGTCTTTAGGGACATGATGAACATTGGCAGTGCTACATTCAGGTCAGATTCCCTCATAGCCCTAAAAGTTGCTCGCATAATAAGCCCAGAAGTGCAGGCCACTTTGCAGGTACAACTCACCCATTTTACGCACTAACTAAACCATCAATGGCAAGAATCGCAAATGAACATAAGCCATTCTTCAGCAGAACATGATTTGACTGCAACAGCAAGTAAGCAAATGGAAACATGTCTTACCAGGGACTGCAACTTTTCTATCTCAGAAACTTGATTTGTTGACCTCACAGATGAACTCGTACACTCCTTTGCCTATTCAGGAAACAAAACTTTCAGCCTCCTTTCACATCCAAACTTGTAACACATAAGAAAACACCAACCTTCCTATCAAGAACTTCTGAAAGACTTTGCACATCAGCTCGCAAAGTATGAATTTCTGAGGCAGCCTCTTTATAACTGCTTAATCGGCGTTGCATACCACTCATATCATCAGGGAACAATGACAGCAGTACTTTAAACTCTGCAATAACTTCCTTCCTCCCTACAAAAAAGGAGTGTAATAAGGAAGCCAGTCCGGTGGGTTTCTGACAAGAATTCATAACTTGATATGGTATCCTCTTACCGGGTTCTGTTAAAGCCTCATCCAACTTATCCTTAATCATATTCTGTTCATTGATCTGTTTCCTTATCTCCGACTCTAACTCAGATAGCTTTGAAGAAGCAACTGCAGAATATCTTCGATAAACATCAAGCAAATCATTTTTTATGTTTAGTTCCCTTTCCCTCCACATAAGATTATCCTTTTCAACCTGAAACGTGCACAGAACATCTGCAGTCAGGCATAAGAGCTAAGCACATGCAAAGAGAAGAACAACTATATCATAAATGAAACTACCGACCAGTTACAACCTGTATTCTCTCAGAAATGGCCTGATATCGCGACACTTCTGATTTTGACTTTTCCAATTGATCTCTCACCAAAAGATAGGCATGCGAGGAAGAGATGCACTTAATATTCTTCAATGAGTTCTATTAGAAACACATCTCAGTTAAGGAAATAGCCTAAGAGAATGAATTTGGTAACAGAGTTTACTGCTTGCACCTAAACTGCAAGCAACAACTAACCTGTAGATCAGACAACTGCTCCAGCACTTTTATCCTCTCATTATGTAAAGCTTTTAATGCCACCAACCGAGAGCAAGCTTGTTCCTAAGGCGCACAGATGTCACCAACATGAGAATCTCTAAAGAGCAGAACTTTGACATCTCAAAGACAAAGATGGCAAATAAATAAAAGCCAGATAACTACCGAGACATCTTTGAGAGAAGATTCCATTTCATGAAGACCTTTCTGTTTCTCTCTACCCCTATCACCACCACCATGTTTACTTCCTAGGTTTAGGACAGGAAATAACATCCCTTTTGTTGCATCTCCCTCCGCCTTGAGAGTTGCCATTTTGCATTTAGTGCCCTGTAACTCAATAACCGAAGTCTCCAATTCCCCTTTGTAGAAGGATATGAAAACAACAAAAAAGTGAAAATAATATTGATATGCAAAAGGATTTAAGAGAAAGAAATCCTTAGACTAAGGAAATTACACCCACACAATGAGTAACAGAAGAGATGGCAGAAAGAGAGGGTAGGAGGAACAGAAAAATACACAGACCCCACCTATGACCTATCAGGCACCAAGCAGTGGGGAAAATTATGTAAATAGCAAAATAAATTTGATGGTTAACATATCAGCTGATGAAAACTAGAAGCTCATGGAGCCATGTCAACTTAACGTAGTACATAGACCAGTTTCCAATCATATCAATGAATACTAAAAAAGAAATAAGTTACCAAGAGCAGTCGGAGATTGCAAATGCACAATGCTGCATGTCCTCTTGATGGAATATATCACGTACAATTTTTCCTATCTAATGGAAACAACATAATAGTGCTTGCAGAAAGACATCAGTAACCAACAACAACCAGAGATTGTACCTTTTAATTGCTTAAGCTGCACTTTATTCCTGACATCAGTATCCCGCTTTCCCTGCAAGTCCCTCGACAGTGACTTATGCCTTATATGAATGTCACTTAATGCTGATCTCAAATTCTTAACTTCCATAACTAATTTAGTAGACGACTTTTGCCTGCATGTACCTAGCAGAAGAAGTAGTATGTATGGGAAACCAAGAAAACTCACATCACGAAGCCCACATTACCAAGAGAAACATGGCAGCAAAGTCTTACCATCATTTGAAAGTTCCTTCATCATTGCAATATGCAACCCATCCTTTACGCTCCAAAGTTCATTTATTGAAATCACTATATTTTCAAGGATATTCCCCAACTTATTTGAGGCATCCGGTCTTTCTTTGTCCATTGATAGAATCTCAACATTACCAGAAGCAGTTATTCTGCTTTGCTCCATCTGGTCGGGGATATTATTTGCAGAGCAACTATCAGTTGCACCTGTTTCCACGAGACGGTGGAGGAAAGTGTCCTCTGGAACAGCGGAGAACTCTTCTGTAGAACAATATCAAACACTGAATGAGAAAGATTTTAAGTATTTTGCCAATTCAAAATCCAGCTGCTGTACCAGAAATAGGCTCCATACCATAACTACAACAGACACTATTTTGTTCCGAGGTTTGTGACCCACTCAAGAAAATTAAATAAAATAGTTCCACCAGAATCACCAAGGGAAATGTAAATGTATCTGGATAAATACGAGATCCTTAAAGTTGTAGAACGTGTAGATACTAGAATTAGAATTTAAATTGTTGGGAAGTCTGGAAACGAAAATCCTAGGGACCTAAGTAGGAATTGGAGTTAAGAAATGGAGTTTTGTGGCTAATGGAGATTTAAACAAAACAAAATACCTTTCTCTATCCTCTTTCATTCTTCAGGCTTTATTTTGGAAGAACTTCATCCAGAAATTTGGATTTCACAATTTATTAACCGGAAATGTCAATATCAAATTCCAATTGTAAAATCACATCAAGCCAAAGAGGGGGTGAACAGAACAACAGAATATATTAAGGAATAGTACATCCCTTGGGGCTGCATATTCATTGGCAGATCAATGAGCCACTGCAGGGGCAGTGAAATATCTAATAAAAACAACAGCAAGAAGAGCAACAGGGACGATTATGGGAATGAAAAGAAAGAATATCGGTTGAAATTACTTCATTTTAAGCAAAAGTACGGCAAGGAGGTTTTAATACATCAGCATCAGGACCATCCCGGGGCAGTGATGAGAGGATGGTCTATTAAAGATAAAACTAAAAAGGAGTACCATAAACACAACAGGTTGCTAATTGAACGCCCGAGATATGTTTTTCATGGAAACTTTATTGAATTCAGTTTCCTTGGGGTTGGCAACTGAGAAATTGAGAAGATAACAGGATGGGGAAGGCAGAAGGAAGGGCAAAAGGGAAGAGAAAGTTTTATGGCTACTTTCTCTTAAAATGCATCAATGAGAAAAAAGGATTTAACTTATAAAAATTTGGGAGTTATTTTAATTCCAAATACATTCGTCAAAAATGGAAATCTAAGAAACTGAGAAGTGAATTGCCATCCTCATCTAGTTCTGACAGGATAAGTTCTGAACTAGCTGTACAATACTGTAAAATCTTAGCATCCTTGGGACAGCATAATTCAACCCTCCCTTCCCTACAAACGTAGGAATTACCACACAACTAATACAAATGGATGAAACATGAGAATGACAAAAAACCATCAATCGAACATGCGAGTTACTCGTCATTTAAAGAGCAACTTTTTTTTCCAACGAGATACTATTATTATTTTTTAACCACAAATGGAGTTACTAGTTCCCACCTTTTGTAAATGGCATTTTCTTGAACTCTTTACAACTACTTGATTCTCTGATCTGTTTGGAGTGTTTCTCCAAGTCGGAAACCAACTGTCACAAAACAGATAGTCAATTTCCAACCTATAAACAAGATAGGTTGCAAAAACTAAGACAACATAGTAAGTCAATTCATCTACGCTCATACAATTCAACAAATTTTCAAACTGGCAGTAAATCAACAAGAAATTACCACTTTCCAGGATTTACTGATTGCTTTTAATATGGAATCATAAGGCTGCTGTTTCTCCTTGAGTTGGGAGAACTTGCTTTCGGATGTGCAGTACTCAACTTTCTGAGCTTCTAACTTCTGTAGAAGCTTTTGATTTTGGAATTGAAGGACAGCAGTATCAAGCTGCATGGAAAAAAGGATGCACTAGTGAGCTAAGTTTCATTAGATCCCAGAACCTGTAAATCCCAAAAATATAAACATGAATGTTGCAACCCTGTCCACATTCACAGATAGTATATATGTGAGTCAAGTTCTACAAATAATCAATAGTCCCTCGAGCAAATGCAAGACGACGCAAAAAACAAAAACAAATTACCAGCATTTATAACCGAACTGTTTTTTAACTAGTGAAGTATAGAAAAAACAATACAAAGCTACGTAATACAACGGTTACTCCGCAACCAAAACTGAAAAGGAAGAAAAGGAAACCAATGAGAACCAGATACAAATCAAAGCATTAACAAGATACAACCCTGATGGCAGTTGTATAAAGAAAAACCAGATGAAAGAGAGCCAATATGCAGCCACGCCATTAACTCGAAGCTATATACGCAACATGCCACGATAATTAGTGCTTTACAAACAGAAGCACCTCCCAGGACACAGCAAACTCATGTAAGTTAGATAAAAACAGCTATCAATTGAAAACAGAATTATCAAAATCCCAATTGGATTAACAAGAGAGAGCCGACGAAGATTCATCCCGCACCTTTTTATCATCGGAGAAGTGCGAGAAGGGCTGCTTCTTAGCCATGACAGCCGTAGGCGACAAAGAACTAAAGTGACGCCGCTTTCGGTCTGGCTCACCAGCGCTCCCCATTGAAAACCCCTAACTCAACCACAACTACAGCCCCGCAAGCCGCCGCCCCCACGCCCAACCGCCTCACAGGTCAGCTTTACTCACATCACCGCAAAGGCCACAACTAAGACCTAGACCCGAACAAACTGCGAAAACTCCTCTGATGAATACCGTAATTCAAACACCAGATACACCTACACTCGCACCTAAACACAAAATTTTACTTTCCCTTCCTTTCCAAGAAGCCCTAATTTCCGAAACAGGCGGCCAATCGACAAGAGCTCCGGCGGAATATGAATTGAAACGGGGAAAATACGTTTCCTTGACTCCCTTCAAACGGAAACGAGATCTTCAGTTCTTCACTTACGGTGACCAAATGCAAGAACTCATCCTAGTTCAGAGAAGAGAAGAGACGAGACGGGAGAGAGTGGAATCGTGTAGTTTGGAGCTTTTTGTTTTTAACTGGCATAAAGTAGCATGGGATTGTGGGGACCACGGGAGGGGTAACCCCGGGAATTCAGACTAGCTTTGAGCCGGAATACCAGTTGGCCTGAACAAAAATAAATAGGAGTATAAGTATAATATGCCCCTCTCGCCTCTAGGGCTTCTACTATGACATTTTATCAAACATGCCCTTCTACTATTTTTTACATCTAATGTGACCCTGTAATTAGGAAAAATTATCAAACATTGCCCTTAAGTTGAAATTTCCATTGAAAAAATCGTCAATCATGGTTGAACCGAGATTTAGACGACCTAACATCAATAAATGGAAGGAGAAATGTCAGTTTTGACCCTTGTTTTATTTCTCTAGGTGTCGTCAAAGTGAAATTATCAGAATTATTTGGCTATACTAAAGAACAAAAAAAACTCTAAAGTGAAATTATTAGGGATATTTTAGATATTTGGGTCGCCCAAACCAAAGTTCGGTCTTGGTTAACGGTTTTTGGATGGAAATTTTAACAAAAAGGCATGTTTGATAAATTTTCCAAAGTACAGGGGCATGTTTGATGTAAAAAATAGTAGAGGGGTATGTTTGATAAAACGTCATAGTAGAGGGGCATATTATACATATAACCCAAATAAATAATGCTATGAGTTAGCATAATTGTTTTATATAAAATTGAATGATATTGAATAATGAAGGTTTTGGTAGAATTTGGGTTTTGAAAAATCATGGATATATGTGGGGTTTGAGTTCATTATGGATTTGATAAAGTTCATTGTTTGTTTGATGGATTTCTTGATGAATTCTGTTAATTAAATTTGTATGTATGAAGTGTAATTTATCTGTATTGCTCTTAATGATATAAGAAGAGAAAAAAATATGAGGTATGTTGGTTAAAAAATTATGGACTTCAAAGTCCATGATCAATTCCCACTTAAGGAGGTGGAATTTTCGGCCTTGTTTGCTTCAGGGTTTTCATCATGGATTTAGTGCACAAAACCCAAACCTCATGGACTTGGAACAAAATCCATTGTTTGCTTCAAGGTTTTAGGGGAGATAAATCTGTGGGGCCAGCAGACTTTGATGGTACAAATTCGTGGGCTCCACGGACTTTGTTAATTCCATCACAAGGGGTGGGATTTGGGTGAGGGTGTGAAGTCCATGATGGGACTTTACTCTTTTATCCCCACTCATTTTATTAATGACAAATTTGTCCTCTTTATTTTTGCTAACTCTTTAGACTAGAGATAACGAGAGACCCGGGAAGGAGTGGGAAAACGCGAAGGAAAAAACACGAAGAAGATGGTGGAATGTGCTTGGACTTAACAATCATCAATTTGTGAGTAAAAGAAAGATGAAAATTCTATAATTGTAGGATACATCAACTAGTTTAATGATGTGTGGTAAGTTGTATTTGCCTATTTGGAGTAAGTGGGTATTGGTTAACAAACTAACAATGATTGAAGCACTTTGTTTAAAACTGAAGATTAGTTTATGCTCAATATTTCAAATCTTCTATTAATTTCATGTTTGTTTGCATATATGATAGCTTTGGGCTCTTGAAATCTTGGAGAGGTACGAAGAAATTCTAAACGACTTTGTTTATATGAAAACAATCATATACAAATAATTATAAATAAGGGCAACAAGGTCAATGTTATCTCATACCAACTAATATATTTCAGCAAAATCCATCATGAAATTCAACAAGGTTTTGGTCCAAATCCATAATGGACCAATTTCATCATAAATCCTTGGTTTTATAAAACTCAAGTTTTAACCAAAATCTTCATTTTTCAAATCCATGAAGCAAACGAATACTTGAAGCAAACAATGGGTTTTAGACAAAGTCCATCATGCATCCAAATCCTTCACCAAATCCATCAAGCAAACAACCCCGTAGTGTAATGACTTAGAAAAATAGGAAGTGTCCAATGAATTATGTTAGTTAGTTGTGTATGGTGATATAGAACCGAATGATATTAGTACAGTTTAGTAACTCTAATGATAGGAAAGTAACTTGTGAATACGCTATCGTGACGCTCTTCTCTTTTGTTAAATGTTTTTCAAAATAAATACCATTGTGTATATCACATAAAATTTGATTTTCTTGGAGCAAAAATACTAAATTCGTAGTTAAAACGAAACAAATATGGGCTGAGAAAATGAAGAAGAAGAAGAGAGAGTTTGTTGGATGACTGCAAAGAAGTAATAAAAGGAAAGAAAAAAAGGAGTTACACGCAATTTTTGGGTAAATTGCAAGGTTGGTCACTGTAAGTACTAAAAGATTCACATTTGGTCACTAAAAGTATTTTATTCCATTAATGGTCATTGAAAATAGTTAAACGTTTCACTCTTGGTCACTTTCCGTTAGTCTTTGTCATCTTCCATTAACACCGTCACTCTTTTGCTGATGTGGCTAACAGAAATATCTAGTCAACATATATTAATCCAAAAAAATTTATACTCAACCCGCCACATCATCAAAGCCAACCCAACCCATAACCTCAACCCGCGAGCCGACCCATAACCCACTCCCCTTTCTTCTCCCCTGACCTCCCCTGTCGCTGAACGAAACGCCGACTGCTCCCGCAGTCGGTCAGTTCCCTACTCCTTCAACAACAGTACCTCCTTTGACCTCTCTCTCATCCCCTACTCGCCTCCGGCCAGTGGCTCCTCAATCGCGAAGGAAATCGGCAAGAGCGCCCGCCTGACTATTTGCATGCCAAGAGTTCCATTGATTTCAGCTTCGATTATCGCCTATGCCTCAGGGATGGAGGTCGTTCTATTCTGACGGAGCAGCCGGCGAAGAACACAGAGGAAGCAGAAGGGTCTCGAGACGCCGAAGTTTTTACCCTATTAAATGTTAGATCTGCCGCGGGCTATGACAAAACTGCTTATTGAGAAAGCGAGAGAGGTTGGTATTTCATCGAGCAGCTTCAGCTCATATCGAGAAAAGGAGCCAATATCAAATCCAAAATGAAAAGAAAGATCGTCCAGAAGCATATTGTGGAGGTAAAAGGGAACCAGTTCGGAATAATTATTATGCTTCATAATTTTTTGAGGTTTTTCAATGAGGGAAATGGATTTGCAATGGACGATGGTGGATAAGAGAATGGAGCCGAAGATTGCGTTATTACCATGGAGATCGGGATTTTCTATGGTGAGTTTTGTTGTGCAACCATCGGAGCTGAATAAATTAGTGAATCTGACCTATAGTCGAATCCCTCGTCGATACCTCTTCATTGTCTGTCAAATTGAGATGGAGAAAAATGGAATAGGGGAAAATGCAGGAGAAAAATGGAACGGGGAGCCACTGGCCGGAGGCGAGTCGGGGATTGAGAGAGAGAGGTTGAAGGAGGTACTGATGTTGGAGTAGGGACTGACCGACTGAGGGGAGCAGTCGCAATTTCGTTCAGCGGCATGGGGAGGTCAGCGTAGAAGAAAGGGAAGTGAGTTACGGTTCGGGTCACGGGTTGAGGTTATCGGTTGGGTTGGTTTTGATGATGTGGAAGGTTGAGTATTAACTTTTTTGGGTAAAAAAATGTTGAATGTGCACTTTTGTTGGCCACATCAGCAAAACATTGACGGTGTTAACGGATGCTAACAAAGACTAACGGAGAGTGACCAAAAATGAAACGTTTAACCACTTTCAATTACCACAAATGGAATAAAATACTTTTAATGACCAAACATGAATTTTTCAGTACTTCCAGTGACTAACTTGACTTGAATCATCGTCACGAGAGAGGGCTTGATTTCGAAATTGTTGGCGGCCATGGGTGGATGTAGGATTGGTGATTGGATATCCGCCGCCCGTGGAGCCATGTAATAGCCAATCGTCCTTGGCTCCCGCCTCTACATTTGTGTTTGGGAGTGGATTAGCCCCTCGGTGTTGATTCCCCGCCATCTCAATTTCAACTTCTTCTTCGAATCCTTCAAATCCGGGACCAACTACTTGTCCCCTTCCTTCACTTCTTCTTCTTACCTCCGCTTGCTCCCTCTCACGAGCTAGAAGTCGGAGAGTCCGGTTAATGTCGTCGTTCAGTGGTGCTAAAGGCGCCGGATTGCTCCGGGTCATGCACCTCCCTACACACACTCAAAGAACAAAACTTGTCTGGCACAAGCACACACTTCACAACTTAACAAAACAGAAATTAAAAGCTAGATTAACACCAAACAAACTTTTCACGATAACGAACCGTTGTTCCCCGGCAATGACGCCAAAAACTTGACTCGAACCCGAATATCACAATAAAATCCCACCTAAGGTCCAAGTATAAACCTTAGATGGGTGCAATACAGGGCAAGTATGTTTAAATATCAACCCGGGTCGGTCCATGTACCGCTACTTCGACCGTTTGAAACATTATCTAGCGAATCGGTTTTGGTGAAAACAAAGGTCTAAAACTAAATTACTTTGCAAAGGTAAAATGGATTTGACTCTAGTTGAGAAAGCTTCACCCGGCTGTTGCTCCCCCTAACTAACAATTATGACTCGATGACTAGAATGACCGTGTGTGGTTAGGGGGTCATAAACCGCAGGGGAGTCTAACAAGCAACCGAAGCTACCCTCTTAGACCCTAGGTTGAGGAATGGGATATGGTCCAAGCCACTAACGTGACCCTCTCAACCTATCGACTAAGGAGTGGTTAGACTCCACCCCCTGAATTGGAGTTCGGACGGCCACCCACAACCAAACCCTAAGTGCTTAATACAAATTAAGAGGTTTTCCCTTTATCTAACCTAGAATAGGAGGCATAGAATGCCCAAGGAAACCCCAACTCTAAAAGAGCCTCTTAAGCTAAGGAGGGTTCTCTCTAAACTAGGTTAGAATGGCAATTAGATTGATAGGCTTTCACAAAACACAATCATTTCTGAAGAATACCTCCATATTCACATTAAAACACATCCACACACAAATCATTCAATTCATACAAGTATTAACATAATTGAAACTAGGGTTTACAAACACCCAAGTGAAA